AATATAGCATTAGTTTGTTGTGTGGAGTGACAAGCAAAGGTTTATATATGGAGGGAAACTTTCCCTGTTGGTTGCCAGGGGTGGAAAGGGAGGGGAGGGAACACTGCAAAAAAAAAAAAAAAAATGCACTGACCCATGTCACTTAAGTTTTGTATATTTCACTATACATAAATTATATTTCAATAAAATACATTAAAAAAAAAAGTGGTCTGATAATAAGGGGCAAGTATAGTTAAACTTAAGTCAGAGCTCTGGTGGCATAGTGCCTCAGGCATCTGGCTATTAACCAGAAGGCTGATGGTTCAAACCTACCAGCCACTCCTTGGAAAGAAGGTTGGGCAGTCTACTTCCATAGTAATACTGCCTCAGAAACCCAAGAAGGGGCTGCTATGAGTTGGATCTGAGTCGGTGGCAATAAGTTTGGTTTTTTTTTTTGGTTTAATAGAGGGGGGGAAAAGAAAGCCAACCCAAACCCATTGCTGACTTTGTTGATTCTGATTCATAGCAACCCTACAGAATAGAGTAGAAATACGCCATAGGGTTTCCAAGACTGCAATCTTTATGGAAGCATACTGCCACACCTTTCTCCCACAGAGTGGCTGGTGTCTTTGAACTGCAGACCTTTCAGTGGTACTTCAGCACTGCACTAGGGCTTTTTACTTAACTAACTATATGACCATAGTTTTATCTGCAAAAGGAAATACCACATAACTTAGAGTTATGTAAGGAGCAAATGAAATGTTGTTGTTATTGCTGTTAGGTGCCGTTGAGTCAGCTCTGACTTGTAGTAACCCTACGTACCACAGAACGAAACACTGCCCAGTCGTGTGCCACCCACACTATCCTTGCTATACCTGAGCCCATCGTTGCGGTCACTGTGTCAATCCATCTCATTTAGAGTCTTCCCTTTTTTCATTGACCCTCTACTTTACCAATCATGATATCCTTTTCCAGGGGCTGGTCCCATCGGACAATATGACCAAAGTAGGTGAGACCATTCTCACTTCCAAAGAGTATACTGGCTGCTCTTCTTCCAGGATAGATTTGTTCATTCTTCTGGCAGTCCCTGGCACTTTCAGTATTCTTTACCACCACCACAACTCAAAAGCATCCAACTCTTCTTCAGTCTTCCTTATTCATTGTCCAGCTTTCACATGCATCTGCGGCTACTGAAAATACCATGGCTTGGGTTAGGTACACCTTAATCTTCCAAGAGGCATCTTTGCTCTTCAGCATTTGAAAGAGGTCTTTTGCAGCAGGTTTGCCCAGTGCAATATGTCATGTGATTTTCTGACTGCTGCTTTCATTGATGTTGGTTGGCGATCCAAGTAATATGAAATGTTTGACAACCTCAATCTTTTCTCCATTTACTTATTGGTAAGTAATGTGATACTGCTTATTGGTCCAGTTGTGAGGACTTTTGTTTTATGCTGAGGTGCAACCCATACCGAGGACTGTAATCTTCAATGTTTATCAGTAAGTGCTTTAAGTAATCTTCACTTTTAGCAAGCAAGGTTGTATCATCTGCATACCACAGGTTGCTAATGAGTCTTCCCTAATTCTGATGCCACATTCTTCTTCATACAGTTCAGTTTCTCAGATTATTTGCTCAGCATACAGATGGGATAAGTATGGTGAAAGAATACAAACTTGACACACACTTTTCTTCATTTTAAACCATGAAGTATCCCCTTGCTCTATTCTAAAGACTGCCTCTTGGTCTACGTACAGGTTCCTCATGAACACAATCAAGTGTTCTGGAATTCTCATTCTTTGCAATGTTATCTATAATTTGCTATCCTCAACAGAGTCAAATACCTCTGCATGGTCAATGAAACACAGGTAAACATCTTGCTGGTATTTCTTGGCTTTCAGCTAAGATCTATCCGACATCAGCAACGATATCCCTCAGTTTACATCTTATGCTTTGTTCTATGTCTTCTTCTGAATCCTGCTTGAATTTCTGGCAATTTCCTGTTTATGTACTGCCACAATCATTTTAGAAAAACATCATACTTCTGTACAAATATTAGTTAATGCTGTATCATATGAAATGTCAACTACCATCCAAGAGGAGATGGGCTTAAGGTACCAATCAAGTTATGATGTCACATAGGTTTCACTCTTCTTAAAACTATGATTAAAAACAACAACAAAACCAAACCAAAAAACCCAAATTTCTCTTTTGAATGGTAGTAATTACATTTAAATTATACTTAACTATAGCTCACAGTTTTTCTTTAACTCAGTTGGATTTCCTCAAGAGTTCTGGTCAGACCAAAACCAACCCCTGCCACTGAGTCAATTCCAACTCATAGTGAGCCCACAGGACGCAATAGAACTACCATTTTGGTTACATCTTGTTAAATCAGAGATCACCTTGTGGAGTATTTTGGTCCCAGGTTACCACTCAGCATTAGTAACTAAATGATAAAAATATCATACAATTAAATATAATACTTGTAGTGGATGAAGTACTACATTCTGTACTATCATGTGTAAGAAGTTTACTATACAATGAGCACTATCTCAAGACAGAGGGCAGATGGGCATTTCCATAAATCATCATTCATTCAACAAATTATTTGAATGCCTAGTATGTGCCAAGTTCTATGGAAAATTCCTCTTATGAATTCTTTGCAACAGTAAGATCAGGATTAAGAGCAAGCAATCTATACCTCCAATTTCAACACGTCCTTAAAACTACCTTTCAGTAGTTTACTCAGTTTAAGCTACTTACAAAGAAGTACAAAGAATACAAAACCAAAAGACCATAATTGCAAGTATTGTTGATGTTATGTTAAAAAGAAGTAGGATAGTAATAATTTCTGCCTTCCCAAGTTGCCCCTATCATCAAGTAAGACACCTATATACTGGCATCTTCTATGCTTTTAAGACTTAAACTTCTTAAACTTAAAAATCGTTACGTAAAGTGTAATTCTACAAGTATCAACATGTACAGAAAGGATGGCACATGTAATTAATTTAGTAGTCTGATTTCTAAATGCATAAAACTTGGGTGAATATGGCTTCAGTAAGGAAGTAATCTGTACACATGCTGGATCCTCACCACTTCCGCAGGACAGGTATCAGACACTACCCTCTTTGTTACTGTGGTGACTTAAGGCTTCACAACAGATCACTGAGTTGATTAAACCCTGCTTAGAATATGTTGTAGTATCTCAAGCTGAGGTGGATCACTATGGGCTTTCTGCTGTGGCAAACAGCAGAACCCTATTTGGCACTCTACAATTCACAATACAAAGGTTCATGTGCACTACTGCCTTGAACCACTGCATACATTTCCTCCAGTAGAGGTCACTGCAAATTGGTAAGCTTTTGTATACCCACATCCTTTCCTAGTATCTGGGAGAAAACAGGAAGAATGATTACACAGATGGAGCAGTAGTTAAGCACTCAGCTGTTAACCAAAAGCTCAGTGGTTTGAATCTGCTATCCACTCTGTGGAAGAATGGTTGACAATCTGCTTCCATAAAGATTACAGCCTAGGAAACCGTCTGGGGCAGTTCTCCTCTGTCCTGTAGGGTCACTATGAGTCACAATCGACCTGATGGCAACAGCTTTGGTTTGGGTTTGTTTTCATTAGTGTAATTTTTAATTTTTTACTTTTGGCCCTATGATCAACTCAGTATACTCCCATAATATCCTCCTCTGAAAATTCCATTTGAATTTTAGAGTAAAGTTTCCAGGACTAATGTATTGACTCACCTTTCCAGTGATAACTTTAAATTGAATCAGGACTTAACAACTATTATAAAGTAAAAATCAAAGATAAAAATTCACCAAATCCTAATAAAAATCCCCATACAATAGGGATACCAAAACCAGTCTAAGTCAGTGAATGCTTTTAACTAAATTCAGCTCCCTTGCCTAACACAAAGTCTACGTAAATGATGTCATTTACCTGGAGTTGTTCCACAGTTTCCTTGTGAGCTTTTTCCATACTATTCATCTTTGTTCTCAAATTTGACTCTTGGTATTGAAAGTCTGCCTTTAGTTCAGTTAACTGAGGGATTAAAAATAATATTAATGGAGAAATATATCCACAAAAAAACACACCATTTTTAATATTCCTTCACAATAAACTCACCCTTCACTAAATAAATGTGAAAGATGTTAAGAGCAACGTCCTGAGTTTTACATCCTACCTAGAATTTGTTTTGTGAAATGATGAATTTTACCTGCATTACAATAAACCAAGAAACCAAACCCATTGCCAATGAATCCATTCTGACTTATAGTGACCCAACAGGACAGAGCAAAATTGCCTCATAGGGTTTCCAAGGCTGTAAATCATTATGGAAGCAGACTGCTACATCATTCTGCCACTAACTCTTCCCTACTTACAACAGTATCATTTTTATGTTAAGATAGTACCAGTAAAATTTCAGAGAAGATGCTCCTGACCTTTTTAAAAGGGGAGTGTCAGAGGTATGCCAATAGGAAAACTTTAAGGTCCTACTACCTTAGAAAATGTTTCCATTAAAATGTCTTTCACATTAGTAACCGTGCTTCACAAAGAAATATTAAAATGACTTCAGGTTAAAATAATCTTTCAACAATAAAAGGAAGTTTCACACTGGGCAAGTAGAAAAAGAAATGTCTTATCAACCACGATCTGTGGTCTATTTTATAATTTATGTCTAGAATTATGGACCCAAGACCATCTAATGCTGGAGGTAAAAAACAAAAAACAAAGCACAGAAGTACAACTAATGTGTAATGAGAAATAAGGTTACTTTAATATTTGGGCTAAATTAAATAAGAAAAATAGCCTGTGGTTTCAGGAAGCAAAAAAGGCTACATGACTATTATTTCATAAATATAAATGGTATGTGCAAAATCTTGTGACTTCAAACTAAAAAAAAGTTGGTATTATATATTTTCATTACTAGAACCATGCAGGAAAAGCTGTAGTGTTTTTTTTTTAAATGATTTTCATTATGTAAGCTTTAAATGTTAACGTGTTTATTATAGTAATAACCCAATACGATAGCTAGTAAGCTGACAGGCATACAAGAACAAAAAGACAAAAAGTCATGGTGTCTTAAAATTCCTAGCTTTCTGAGTTAAAGCCATTATTTTTGTCACAGTAAAAGAATAACTAAATTCTCTTCCCATTTCTTATATATTACAAATGAATTCCTGTTTTGAAATGTCAATTCACTATACTGTGAATTGCCTCCACACTATGAACTTTTAGAAGGTAAGGATAATGCTTTATTCATCTTTGTATGTATCCTCATGATCTGGTACTGTGTCTTGCTCTAAAAGTCACTCGGTAACTGTTTGTGAAATAAATTGAAGAAAATAACTCAGTTGTCTTAGATTTATGTTACAAGAAAAAGCTGTAAATGTACAGGTCTACAATTATTATTTTCCTTCTAACACCAATAATTTCAATCCCTGTATTTTTTTTCAAAAGAGCAATAACAAATGCAGAAAAGTTTCAACAAACGCCATTCATACAAAATAAGCATTCTAAAAAGAAAAAAAAGGAACTATGAATTATAAGATATCCATACTATTCTAGGAGCCCTGGTAGCACAGTGCCTAAGGCACTTGACTGCTAACCAGAAGGCTGGAGGTTCAAACCCACCAGCCACTCCTCAGAAGGAAGGTTGGGCAATCCACTTCTATAGTGATAACTGCCTCGGAACCCAAGGAGGGGTCTCTATGAGTCGGATCCGACTAGATGGCACACAACAACAATAACAACATACTATTCTATTTTTATCTAATACTTACTTAATTTTCATATGCTGAATTTACTTAAAGTAAGGTACAAATGTATTCAAGTTGAATTGGCTAACTATCACCATGTGGAACACAACATGAAAGTTGTTGAATGTCAGAGGTAAAAGCCAACTCAAGCTCAAGCACTGCTACAATACTGAGAGATGGAGAATTCATACATGGATATAATCATGTCTTGTTTATAATTCTAAAAATGTTTTTAATACTTTTTATTGCAGAAGATGTTTAATGTAAGTCCAGCTAGATATGAAGACCATATCAACAAGTATAAAAGTAGATGCCACACTCAAGAGGTGAAAGCATTATGCTCATGGTCATACAGTTAGAAAGTATGGGAACTGATATGTGAACTTAAAACCAAAAAACCAAACCCACTGCTGTGGATTCTGACTCACAGCAACCCAATAGGACAGAGTAGAACTGCCTCCCATAGGTTTCCAAGGCCATAATCTTTACAGAAGCAGACTGCTACTTCTTTCTCCCATGGAGTAACTGGTGGGTTTGAACCATTAGCTTTTCAGTTAGCAGCCAAAAGCCTAACCATTACACCAGCAGAATGAGCTCCAGGATGGAAACTCAGCTGTGGTTAAATGACTTCAATGCTGTTTCTTGTGCTGCCCACCATTATGCCATGCTAATTTCATACCATATGAAAACCCTAAACCATTTAAAATTGTTAACATTCTTCTTTTCAATAAATAGACAATACATTTACTATCTGCTTTCACTGACATAGGAAGTCCAAATGAGCAAAGTTCCTTAGTATAAAACGATCTTAGACACCTACCGTTAATCAAAGACTACCCCAGAGGAAATTCTCGTAACATTACTTTTCACCACTTATTTGATCTTTATTGAAACAAATATATTACCAGTATACCAAAGACTATGTATTCAATTACCTTCTTATATCACAAGAGTTTACACAGTATCCCATTTACGTCTGTTTGAAATTAAGACATTAAACTTATTCCAAAATTACATGTTTAATAAAACCTAATTAATGTTCAGAAATTATTACAACTCTAATTGGCTGAGTCAATTCTTAGAACTAAAATTCCAAAGAGCATTTCTACCTATCTTTGTAAGATGGCTTATATTCCAGCCGGGCTGTTGTAACATGTCATAAGAATCTTGCACAACAAACATCCTCAAATTAAAGGAAGTCTAAGGAGCTAAGTGGCACAGTGGTTAAATGCTAAACAAAAGGTTGGTGTTTTGTACCCACTAGACACTCTGCGAGAGAAAGACATGGCAGTCTGTTTCCATAAAGACTGCAGCCTTGGAAACCCTATGGGGCAGTTCTACTCTGTCCTATAATGTTGCTTTGAGTTGAAATTGACTTGACAGAAAGAGGTTTTTTAATGAGATTTGCAATTATTAAACAAGAGCCAAGATGTAAATATTACCAGGCTTCAATGAACCATGTTCTTACCTTTTTATCTTTTTCTAAAATAGTCTGGTCTCTTTGCTGTAAGAGACGCTTAAGTGACATCACTTCTTCTTTCAGTTGACTTATAAGGACAAAATTGTCTGTTCCCCCACTATCTGCTGACTGATTTATAGAGCTACTAAAAAGAAAAAAGCAAAACACAGTTAAACAAAATAGAAGGAAAATTAGCAGGTGTTCAAATTGCATAAATTAGACAATTCCACAAACATCCTTAAGGCTAATGCAAAAAAATATGTACCTGACAGAAATGGATGCAACTGGCAAATTACCTTACTAATGGCACACATTACATACACCTGCAGAAATATAATTCAGTATTAGCTTTTAGGGGGTCAATACTTCTAGTGTAAAGCAATAGGCAGCCAATTTGTACAGTAACATCAGCAAACTTTTGGCTAATGAACTAAAACAAAATCACACTCATATTTCAAATCTAAAAACAGGTCAATTTAAAATATCACATCTATTTGTGTTTCTTTGAAGGATAATTAAGATAATGTTCTTTATTCAGTTTAGTTTTGTTTCCAAAACCCAAAATTTATTTACCAAACAGAACAACATAGTTCAGTGCCACTTTCTTATTGCCAAAATTTAAGTTGAAAAAAAATTTTTAACGGATTCTTTATTCTCCTAGATGACACAAAGAATTCAATGTAGAAGATACATGTTTCTGTTCTTTTATTACTAATAACTAGCAATCAACCATAACTGTTCAACTAAGTTGAATTTTCACAACACTAAAGGAATTTTACCTATCTCCATTAGATGGCTTAGATTCCAATTTGGGCTTTTTCTTTGGAGTTTCATTCTGAATTGCTGCAGAGGATTTATGGCTGAAACCAAACATTAATAAGACTAATTAGAGTAAAAAGGACAGAGACATCGAATGATAAGTTACTCTTCTCCCAAAACATTACTGATTTTTTTCAAAAAGGCTAAGTAACAAAGTTGAAGGGGTGTCACACTTAAAAATTTACATTTTAAAATACTTAAGAAAATATGTTAATATATTTACCTTTGCTTCCACAGTCCTTGCTCTTGTTCTGGGCTCAAATTGCTGATTCTGAAAAATTAATAAATGACATCTAAAAACAGTATTATTTAATAGAACTACATTTAATACCATTCTTTCTAAATGTAATAAAATCATATGCATTTATAATATTTTGTTCAGAGAAACGCATATTCAATTAAGTTTTCAAACTAATACATATTGAATGGTTTTACATTCTAATGAGATAAATTCTAATGAAATTACTATCAGCCATCTTAAGTTCTCTAAGAAAGGTATGAGACTAATTTTCTTTCTAATCAGATCCTCCATAATTCAATTTAGAATCACACTAAGAGTTAGGGTATCTGAGCATAAAAACCACCACTATAGCATAAAGCTTGGGAATCATTGTACTTAGGCTGCCCTTACTATTTCAGACAGAAGATGTTGTATCTCAATTTAAGGTTACCAAAAACCAAAACCAAACTCACTTCCGTCAAGTCGGATCCAACTCATAGCAACCCCTCTTTTCGTTTCTAAGGTGGTATCACTACAGAAGTAGATTCCCCAACCTTCCTTCTGAGGAGTGGCTGGTGAGTTTGAACCACCAGGCTTCTGGTTAGCAGTCAAATACCTGAGGCACTATGCCACCAGAGTTCCCTAATTATCCTAAATGGAAATTCTTCCTCTGGAATAATTTGAATTACTCAGAATTAATGTTTTAAATTGAATCAGGATATATGTTAATTTCTTTGTTTCTTTCCTAGTTTTCCGAAGAACCCTCTTCAAAAGCTCTAGATCTTGGTTTAGTCAGTACTCTGGGGAAGACATGCTGAAAATACTGGGAAATTTCACAGTAACAATTGATGAAACTTTTACTAATTAATGCTACAACACTTTTTTTCCATTATGTCATATTACTAATAACCACTATGCAATTCACTATAAGTCCTACATTCTTTTCAGCAATACTTGCTTATCAGGCAGTCCTTCATTAAGTCCTAGCTTATTCACTCAATAACATATATAAAGCACCCACCTCTTAGGTGCCAGACACTGATCATTTACATATAAAATTTAGAATTTCCTCATGATACTTTATATCTTCACTAGATTGCTATCAAAGTTGAAGGCATATAGTATATGCTTAAAAGATATTGGATAACCTGAGCTATTTGATTCGATTTTGGGTAAGCTACTTAAAATCCCTGAGCCTCAGTTTCTTCATCTGCAAAATGCATATAATATGTACTGTATAGAGGTATGAGGATTAAATGAGTAATGCAGCACTTGGTAAGCGCTAGCACAAAAAGTGCATATATATATTATATGTATATATATACATATAATGTATATATAAAGGAGCTCTGGTAGCATAGTGCCTAAGGCACTTGACTGCTAACCAGAAGACTGGCAGTTCAAACCCACCAGCCACTCCTCGGAAGGAAGGTTGGACAATCTACTTCCATAGTAATACTGCCTCGGCAACCCAAGGAGGGGTCACTATGAGTTGGTCCCAACTTGATGGCACATAACAACCTGGCAAATTCAGCTGGACTCGCCTTTTTGTTTTATTCACAAATTTCATTATAAACATTATCAAACTATAAAATCACACATGGCTTAACAGCAATATCTAGACCTCAAAGTGAGAACATTAATAGCAAGTAATCAGAAACACTTGGAATTCTTATCTTACCATCCTGAGGGTTGGCCATTACTGAATTCAGTTTGATCTCAGGTTCCCCGCCCCCCCAGCCCAAGCACCATATTTTAGGGTATGTATGCGCCTTACAATGGTTTTAGACTTCTTAACTAAAGATGATGTTGTTGTTGTCATGTGCCTTTGAGCCGAACCCGACTCATAGCAACCCCTCCTTGGGTTTCCAAGGCAGTATCACTATGGAAGTAGATTGCCCAACCTTCGTACCACCAGCCTTCTGGTTGGCAGTCAAGTGCCTTAGGCACTATGCTACCAGAGCTCCCTAACTAAAGATAAGACGATAAAAACTGTTAGCCAATTCATTAAATGTTTTATAATCCAGTTTGTTTTTCTTGGGTAACCAAAAGGAAAATAAAAATTGGAAGTCAAAACCTTCCTCTTCTCCTTTACTTCTGAAACATGTATCTCTTTCAAAAAACTGTTATTGTCACAGAATTTGATCTTTAGAAACATTGTGTTCTTTCACATCACACTAAGACAAACTGATCTACAAGGCTAGGGAAAAGGACATTTTGGCAAAGGCTTAGAAGTAGGTCTGAAAGATTTCATTATGACAGTTACTTCATCCTAAAGCAGCAAAAACAAGGCAGATTAATATCTCTTCATGACTTTCGATACTCTGATATAAGGACAATAAGATTTCTTTTAAAACAGCATGATTAAAAATTATTATGCTGTGTAGTTCCATCAAGTCAATTATGACTCACGGTGACTCCAAGCATACACAGTGGAACTGCTTCATAGTTTTCAAGGCCATGGCCTTTTGGGAAACAGATTGCCAGGCCTGTTTTCTGAGGTACCTCTAGGTAGGTTTGAACTGCCAACCTTTCATCCAACGGTCGAGTATTTAGCTGTCTGCTCCATCTAGGAATTCTTAAAAGTCATTATGCAAGGGTGGTGTAACAGTTAAATGCTTGCCTGCTAAATGAAAAGTTGGTGGTTCTAATCTACCCAATAGTTCCACAGGATAAAGATGTGGCAATCTACTTTCAAAAACACTATAGCCTGAAAAACCTTATGGGGTAGTCAAATGGGGTCATCGAGTCTATGTCAACTCGATGGCACACAACAACAGAAAATATACCACGAGTCAAGTGGTAAAACTGCTACTGAAAAAAATCAGTTTCAGTGCCTCATAAAATCCCATAATCTATTATGTGCCTGTCTACAATTAACCATAAAATCTTGTTAATAAAAAAGAACTATATGAAATAAAAAATATCACTATATGTTCCTAAAGTTGTAGGCAAACAGGTTTCCTTAAGTAGAACTTTATGATTAAACAATTATCTGGAACTTTAATATTATTTTTCACACTTTGATAAGATCTTGAATGCTTCTACCATCACTAGAAAAGAGTGTTACAATCTCTGTATTTCCTACTCACTAGTTTAATTTTCAGTGAAACAAATTAAGAGTAACTGAGGTAAATATAATTTTTGCAAATAAAATCTTAACAATTCTTTAAAGAAAGAAAATTGGGGCTTTTGAAACTATAAATCAAAGAAACATAATTAACCCTGATGTATTTGTTTTTTGACTTCAAGATAGAGTCATAATTTTATAAAACAGTTCCCTAAATCTTTACTATTATGGGAAACTAACTAAACCCATTACATGTGTGTAATTTCATAAACTGAGTAAAGTGGGGAACAGCCTTAGACACTCCAGAAGCTTACCATGTGTAATGGAAAACAGAATAGCACACACTCAATATTTGTAAGAAGTTACAATACCAATATATTCCATTAAGAAGCCAGGGAAAAGTCAGAAAACATGACTTTGAAGTACTTACTTGTGATGGCTACTGCTGTGACGATGGTGATGGTGATGATGGTGGTGATGATGTTTGGAATGATGCTGGTCTTTTTCAGTAAGAGATGAAGAAGATGAATTTGAATGTGAAGATCCTAGGGTCTTCCTTTGTTCCTTTGTCTTTTGTAAAACTCTCTTGTATGATAAAGTACACAGCCAGCACAATAACTTCCCATCAACCTTTTAAGAAAATAATTACATTAGTTTAAATTTACCCATAAATTGGTTATAGGTAAAATAAAGTGCTTAACTTCCAGCTATTTCTCATACACACACACTTTTAGATTCTGTAAGACAGAAGTATAATTAAGACTTGTGAAATCTGAGAAAATGCTTACTGAGAGGATAAAATTGGTGAGGAAGAAATTTGGTCTTCATTAAACATTAGTCTGGAGAAATTTTTAATTTAGAGAGAAACATGTGTTACCATTTTTCTTTTAACTGAAAAATATACACTGATGATACATACATGTCAAAGAAATCTTATGTATGCACTCAACTGAATTCTAAATTGTAAGATAATTACTAAAATGGTATTTCCCACTACAGTAAAAATTATGAATTCACAGAAGAAAGAAAAGTATGAATGATACATATGCACGTCAGGGGTAGGAAAAAAGATTTCTTTCCAAAATTAAGACCAAAATAATATTAAGTTTCTGTTTGTTACAGAAGTACTGGACGGTCATGTCTTGCAAGTAAGTAGACTGCATATATTGCTTTGGGAGATCCTGGAGGAGCCTCTGAAAGAGATAGTTAATCTCCAAATCAACTGAAATTGAAACACAATAGGAGACTTGTAATGTCTGCTGACCAGAAGAGGCATGCCACACGCATACACACACTTATTAAGTCACTGTAGGTAGGTAACAACAAACAATGGTTTCAAATATGAGACCCAGGTTAAAAGGCACAAGGGTAACTTTAAATTACAAGTATTAGTGTGCCATCAAAGTTTTCACACCAGCAACTTCAGGTGATCAGCAAAAGGGTAAGTAACTGAAAGGATTTACTTAATAGCCATTAGTAATTCTCCTCAACCAAACTGTGATAACCAAACAGTATAGTATTTTAAAACTTCATGATTCCAATTGATCTAAATGAATCTACATACGACACAAATTAAGGAAAAACTCAGTATCTTTAATCCCTACTTTAAAAGACTCAAAAGACAAATCATATCTCAGCAGTGTTATAATAATCTCCATCTCATTTGGTATTTTATTTAATTTCTTGAAGATGTTGTGTTATAAAGACATACCTTTCTTCGTCCTTCTTCTTTCCGATCAAAAGCACATTGTTGTTTGCACTGTTCACAAGTCTGAGGTGGTCCATATTTTTTTTCTGAATTTGTACAACGCTGACACTTGGTGCCAATAAATGCTGCAATTATGTTACAGTACTGACAAGGTTTGGGCTGAAAAAACAGATACACAATTTCTTTGAAACATTTAACAAGACTATAAATTTGCTGCATAAAGCATGCCTAGGGTTATTCTAAAACTCCACTAATAAATCAAAAAATTTTCTATCAAATCTGTTGCTCTGCCGTATTTAATAACATTCATCGTGTTTCTCTCATTCAACTAGTATGTCTAGAGTCGTGTACTGCAGTGCTATTCTTGGAATATTTAAGTAAGATCATGAGAAAATAGTTACGATTTGCAGTTATATAATACAAAAGCTACATGCAAAAAAGTTGCAAAGAATTAAAGGTACGCATGCATAGAAAAGTTTCACATATCCAAAATTTGGGGGAATTAACTTACTACTAAGTTAATATCCTGGTAAGCTTAATTATCATACTACTAATTAAAAATCACCGACTAACTTCACTATATACAAGTAAAAATGATGCAAGGAACATTTACTATAAGTTTTCAATTTACAAAAAACAGATACAAACATAACCAACACAAACTAAAATCTTCCTTTTCTTTGAAATCCAAAAGACAATTCAGGATTTTATATAGCCTTAAAGCCAGAACTGTGACCAGTGATGACTGTAATGTACACATAGGTGCAAGAGAGGTTTTGTGCTAGAGTAGTGTCATGATTTTTGTGAATAAATACTTGAATTGCGCTGCTATCTAAAAAAAGGAGGAAAAGTCTGATTATGCAAACTTTATGGATAAATGAGGTTCTCCATCACCAGTTTGCTATATTTGACTATTTAAGAAAAGAATGAAATTTAATAAACAAAAAACACGCACATAATTTCAGTTTTTAAATTCTGTAATCTTCCCATCAGACTGTTCACAGAAAACTTATTTCATGAAATATTTTGACATAATGAAATATTTAAGAACACAGCAACATATATTTTAGAAAGGTGCAAAAAACCACTAATTGACTAATGTAAAACATAAGCCATACTTACTGTGCCAAACTGCTTCACATTTTGAGCACATTTCTTACAAATTGTATTAGTTTTGCTGAAAAGAAAAAGGTACATAAATGGGCAGATTTAGGTAGCTTTCTGAAGTAATTTAGTACAATGAGCTAAAGCAAATGGATGAGTCAGAGATTTACAATACTTATAACAATTATTTACTCTAATACCAAACTCACTCCAATCAAGTCGTTTCCAACTCACAGTGACCCCTCCTTGGGTTTCTGAGGCGGTATCTCTACCAAAGTAGATTGCCCCATCTTCCTTCCAAGGAGTGGCTAGTGGGTTTGAACCACCAGCCTTCTGGTTAGCAGTCAAATGCCTTAGACACTATGCCACCAGAGCTCCTAGAGATCAATTTTTTTTTTCACTACAAAGAATCTTTTTAGGATTGTATCACCCAAATTTACTTCTCTTCCAACTAATTTAAGATGTTTTTACTTTTCAATGTACATGTCTCATAAAAGAAACAAAGCAAAAACCTCTATGTTTCCTAACTATCCAAAATCTTCACATAGCATACCTTTACATATCAGTACCCACCTAACTTTCCACCGGACCATTCTCCACTATTATGATGTCCATATCTACCTGTGGAGTTTTATTTCCTTTTTTTAGGCTAATTTCTTGTGTGTGCTCTTAAAGTAAAATCAATTGGTTGAAAAGCATGTGATGTTCTTTCACTGGTAACAAGTTACTAGATTTTACTCCTGAAAGGCAGTTGGTAATAGACCTTTCCTCAGATTCATGTCAGCAGTAGCTTTTGTACCAATTTTACATATGTGTATGTATAAATATGTGTGTTTGTATAGTTTAAATTTGTATTTTTGTTATGAAGGCTGTGTATTTTCTATGCAATAATTTATTATTTCCTCAGTACAAACTGAAGTCTAATTGAAAAATAACGATCATTGTTTTTGTCAACATTCTCTCTCCCACCTTGTAAAAGGTTTCAACTTTAATCTGGGAAGTTAAACAGTTTTTTAAAAATACTTTATTACAAATATGAGATTATCATTCCAAAGTGTACCTTAAAGACAACACTTTGTCTTGAACAATCAAAAACTGTTTAAGTATACAAACCTCTCTTGTTGAAATTCTGATCTGCAGTAAGTACATTTTACAATAGGATGTGCAATCCGACATTCCTGTAATGAAACAATACATTAGTCAGTATCTATTTTAAAGTCCCAAACCTCACTCTTCTGGTGGGAAATTATTTCATAGCCTAATCAGATTTCTAAAACATCAGTAAAACCTGTTTCCTAACATAGACAGTTGAGTGATTTATCACATAAAGTGGCCAATTACAATATAACTCCTCATGTAAGGCATAGATGTCTTTGTCTTTATTAGATGTGAGGGTATGTTATAAACAAATTAAGCTGTCAGGGCCGATTTCAAGGAATTGCTTAAATGTGAAACTACTTATTATTTTGCATCGTTGCTCACAGACAGCATCCCGACTTTTAAGGGATGGAAGGTGCTCCAAATCATAGAGCATTCTGTTCCCAAGCCAGTCGCTTCGCTTTCCTGGACAGGGAAGGAGGATGCCATCAGCTTTGCGGCTTCGAGTTCCTAGCAAGAAAGTGTAAAATCCGCCCCCTGCCTCCTGGTGGAAGGCGAGGACAGACCAGGTAGAAATTCGAGATGAAAACATCTCCAGCCCAGGCTCTCTGCGGCTTAGACAGGTGGCTGCTTCACTCAGCCCCATCCAAGACCATAGGACGCTGCGGGGGTCAGGCCCCGTCCTGGGCCGCTTAGAAGAGAACAAGATTCTACATCTCTCTTAGGGACCCTTCCCAGCTGATACCCAGGTGCCTGTATAAAAGGGTACCCGGTTGGGAAAGCAAGGACTCCAACCCCCAAAACCGCCGAAGCACCGGCAGAGCGGGGCTGCAGTGCAGCGGGCACCCAGACCCCGCGGGCTACAGCCGAGAAAACCCCGCCCGCCCGCCCGCCCGCCGCCCAGCGCCCACGGACCTTGCATAGCTGCTGCCCCTGGGAGAGCTCCTCGAAGGGATAGCGCTGGGTACACTTGGTGCAGGCATACAGGGCCGAGGCCGCCATCCTGCTCCTCAGTCTCCTCCTCCTCCGCCGCCGCCCGCTGCGAGGCGGAGCCCTACGGGGGACTCAAGCGCCGCCGCCGCCGCCGCCGCCGCCCGGACCGCAGGCCCCTCCTCCTCCCCCACCCCCTCCCCCTGCTTCGCGCCCACCAAGGCCTTGCCGAGAGATCCCAGAGCTCCGCGTACGACACCGTTGTCTCCCTCCGCCTCCACTTCCGCCCTAGCCCACCCAGCGACGCCGTACCAGCCGCTCCCGATAGCGGCGGAGGGAGACGAAACGCATAGTTCGATGCAATTTAGCTGTGCGCGGCAGCAGATCCGCTTCCTTCTCGGCCTCCCTTCCCCGCCCCCGATTGGCCGCGGAGGCTACTGCGTCACTCGGTCGTTCCTCCCAATCTCTAACCCCCGCTACGCAGAGAGCGCCCACAAAGGGAGGAAGTCGTTGGCCAATAACAGCGCGACGCTGTCGGCGCGCGAAATACGCTTTAAACTCGCTCCGCCCAAAGGTCGGGTCGCAGCAATTTCTAGCAGCCAGTCCCAGGTTTGGGTGAGAGCTCTATAATCTAATTGGGCAAAGAGTCGCGAAACGTTTCATCTCTGTGTTTACTTTCTCTTTCCCTTGACTTCTGTCGGGCTAAATCATTAAGCCCCTTCTAATACGATTTGTAGGTGCTCTGGTAGCATAGTGGCTAAAGCACTTGACTGCTAACCAGAAGGCTGGCGGTTCAAACCCACCAGCCACTCCTCGGAAGGAAGGTTGGGCAATCCTACTTCCGTAGTGATACTGCCTCGGAAACCCAAGGAGGGGTCGCTATGAGTCGGGCCGACTCGACGGCACATGACAACAACAACAACAATACGATTTGTTATTCGCCAAAAGGTAAGCACTTCACCTGGAGAGGCGTCCCCAAGTCTAGTTTATGCTCACTCTGGCGTTTAACCCAAAGGATTTGATGGAGTGTTTGAGCTTCGCATTCATTTTTACTCTATTTTAATCATTCAATAATTGGCACTGGAGACAACACAACCCCGCATACATTTTCTCACCCCATCCCAGGAGAGGATCGTCCCTTGGCAAAAACTCAGCTGTCTAGTAACCCGCGGTGTTTTAAGCCCCCGGCAATCTCAGTTACGCGCTACCTTGTGACGTCACCAGGGGAAGAGGCGGACTCTCTTCTAGAGGAAGGCTTCCGCTTTCTTGATTGGCTGATCAAGGTGTCCGTCAGGACGTGCTGCCCTTTCGGCGTGCGCTCTGAGCGTTTGTGTCCCTGTGGGGGTGTGTGGCAGGGGTTTCTATACCCAGTACCAGTATTCCCGCCCCTTCCATCAGGGGTTCGGCTTGAGGTCGCCCCTGGTGGGCGACTCTCGAATCTTGTGGAAGAGCACGAGAACCCGGAGCTGCGGAGGCCTGCTGAGGCAGGCTGGAAGATGGCGGCGGCGGCGGTCCCTGCAACTTCTAGTTCTCAGTTGTCGGTAAGAAGCAGTTGGCTTTCAAGTGGGCTTCAGATCGGTTCTGGCTCTTCTCTTTTCCTCTCACTTCATGGTGTCCGTTGCCCAGCTTCTCACCCCATCGTAGGGGACTGCGGTGAGCGCTTAGATCGCTCTGTGTTGAGCCTCCATTGATCCACTATTGAGGCTTGAGCCCTTTGCCTTCCAGTGAAACAAACCTGGCCTGTCTCGACCCCTTTCCCTATTCATCTTTCGGCCTACCAATCGAGGTTACTGAAAGTTGCCAGGACTCGGCTGGAATGACTGCCCGCTCCCTGGCAGGTGAAAGCATATATAGCTCTTGTGGTCACGTGGCTGTAACGGCCCCGGTTGGCAACTCGCCGAGACCAGGTAGGCTTTCCAGTGTGTTTTATAGACAGTTCTTAATGAGTAGTCTTTAGTTTTTCAAGTGCATTCTCGTCGCTTCTGTTTCCATTGCTTGCTTTGCAGACTTCCCTTCCATCCTGGGTACCTTTGTTCTGTGATCATAGTTGCCAGAAGCGCGCGAGTACCAACTCCCATCGTTTTGCTAGGGCTGCAATGTGTAAATGCCGTTGGTCACGTACTTTTCTGTTGTAGTATTTTAATATACTTTTTTTTTTTAATATATAATACTTGTTCGGGGAGCTCTGGTAGCGTAGTGCCTAAGGCACTTACTTGACTGCTAACCAGAAGGCTGGCGGTTCAAACCCACCAGCCACTCCTGGAAGGAAGATGGGGTAACCTACTTCGGTAGTGATACTGCCTCGGAAACCCAAGGAGGGGTCGCTATGAATCAGGTCCGACTCCACAACACATAACAACAACAATACTTGTTCGGAGATAGAGTGGCAGCAGGTGAAGCTGATACTGTATATTGTTTTTGCTTCCACAAGGGCTACAGTTCAGTCACTACATTTGTCAAATTGGAATGTCGAACGCTTAAGTTTTTCAGGGGACCACCTCATTGGTTAGAGATAGGAAGTAAATGTGAGAAGGCTCAGGTTAGAGCTGTTACCTGGCTATTCGGCAAATGCTGAATACCTGGCATACTATTAGGCTCTAAGATTACACAGATGAATAGGATAGAATCCTTACTCTGAAGGAGCAAAACATTGAAGAGAAACTACATGTAATTAGATGATTATTACAAAACAGTTTGATGTGTGCTACATGTTAGAATGATCTAGGCAAGAGTGATTAGTAGTGCTTGGTTAGGTGAGAGAAAATTTCCTAGAGAAGATGAAGCTGTTTGAAGGAACTTTAAATGCTTGCTGCAAGAGTAGGAGAGGAAGGAGAAAAATTCATCTCAACCATGTGTCAAAATTTAATAATGCTTTCAGGAAACTTAAAGTAATTTAAAATGAGGAAGGGTAGTATAGAGGTGGAGTTGGATGAGATGAATTGGAAAAATAGATAAAAGTATAGTTTTGGAAGGCCTCATATGGTGTCTGGGGTAGAAGAAGGATAGTGAGGGAAGAGGCTGAGGAGACTATCCAGGCAAGGTTATAATGTCATACAAGCTAAGGAAGAAAGAGTTTAAGGATGCTAGAGCAGGGTCTGGTAGCATAGTGCCTAAGGCACTTGACTGCTCACCAGAAGGAAGGTTGGGCAATCCTACTTCCGTAGTGATACTGCCTCGGAAACCCAAGGAGGGCTCTCTATGAGTCGGGGCCGACTGGACAGCAAACAGCAACAACAGAGCAGGGTCACCTTGGGGAAGTCACACATTCCTTAGTTTCAGCTTTAGATGGCAATCTAAGGATTTGTGAGAAGGAGGACAGAAGTAACTCAGGTTTCCTCAGAATGGGGGTAACAAGTTTGCAGGGTGGTCAGGGGAGATTAGGAGAAAAAATGAATGAAGCAATTGGAGTTCATTCCGAAATTATGTTAGTAAAAGGCACATGAAAGGTAAAAGAACTGTTACACTATTAGAAGTATTAGTAAATGGGTGAGATTTTCAATATAAAAGATGGCATTAATTAAACTTAATTGGCAAGAGAATCTTCACAGCTCTTAGAAATAATACTCTTAGAAATGTTGATTTAAGCTGTGCTCTGCCAAGGTCATTTATGGGCAGTGGTACTGGGATGTGGTCAACCCTTAGTCCTTAAGTAGTGAAGTTCTTAAGTCCTTAGTCCTTAAGTCCAAAGATTGTCTACAGACTAAATGATGATCATCACAACTGTCTTAACCTGCTACATCAAAATGTCTAATTTGGAAGCCACTATGTCAAAACACAAAAGTGACCAAATGTAGTCTATTTCTTAGTGTCCTTTCAAATAGGTGCACCTCCAACATAGCCCACAGAATTTAAAAAAAAAAAGAGAAAGAAGAAGGCACTTCACCTTTAGAATTGGCTGATCTTAACACATTGTTGATGTTAGGTGCTATCAAGTCAGCTCCAACTTACAGTGACCCAACCAAATGAAACACTGTCTGGTCCAACACAGATACAGCATAAAAACACTTAAACATAAATTCAGAAGACCTCTCATATTCAGACTTCATAGTTGTGAGCATTAAGCAGCATGGAACTAGGTATGGTAAATGGAGATGATTTTCCCAGGCAAGGATTTTTAATAGGTAGATTCACAAATAATAACCAGTGTTTAGGGAACAGTTATATGTAAACCTTAAATGTGATCAGCATTGACATAGGTGATAGGTTTGAACTGGTCTTTTTAAGTATTCATTCAGTGCAACTGCATCAATAAGAGTAGCAGCAATTTACTGAGTGACTGCTTTGTATCACTCCTACTGGGGAATCACAATGATTGAAAAGAAATTAATGCTATACAGAAGTACAGGCAGCAAGGTGTTGAAACACAGAATATCTTTCCTTTTTTATTTTCCTTATTACCATGGTCAATAACTTTATGTCGCTGTATATTTGAATAAGCTAGTCTTGTGTTTGTTTTCCCTAGCTTTACCTAAGACCTTTAACTAGCCTGCACACTAACTTCACATGATTTTACTTAAACTTTTAAAAATGAATATGCTATAGGTTTTATAACATTAAATATATGTGATTTATTTTGTTGTTAGGTGCTTTGAAGTTGGCTCTGACTCATAGTGGCCCTATGTACAAAAGAAAGAAACGGTGCATTGCCGTGCACCATCCTCACACTCGTGCTAGGGATAAGCCCATTGTTGTAGCCACTATGTCAATCCCTCTTATTGAGGGTCTTCCCCTCTTTGGCTGACCCTTTGCTTTACTAAGCATGGTATTCTTCTCTAGGGGCTGGTCCCTTCTGACAGCATGACCAAAGTATGTGAGGTACAATATGGCCATTCTTGCTTCTAAGGAACATTCCATTCCACCTGTACTTCTTCTATGATAGATTGGTTTGTTCTTCTGGCAGTCCATGTTATTTTCACTATTCTTTGCCAAGATCACAATTAGAGTCAGTTCTTCTCTATTCTTCATTATTTATTGTCCGGCTTTCACACGCATATGAAAATAAAACCAAAAACCAAACTTTATGCCGTCGAGTTGATTCAACTTATACTGATCCCTCCTTGGGTTTCCAAGGCAGTATCTATACGGAAGTAGATTGCCCAGTCTTCCTTTCAAGGAATGGCTGGTGGGTTTGAACCACCAGCCTTCTGGTTAGCAAAAATACCATGCTTGGGTCAGGTGCACTTAGTCCTCTAAAGTGCCCTTGCTCTTTAACACTTTAAGGAAGTCTTTTGGAGCAGATTTGCCCAGTGCAATATATCATCTGATTTTTTTTACTTCTGTCTCCATGGGCATTGATTGTGGATCCAAGTAAAATGAAATCCCTGACAATTTCAATCTTTTAGCCATTTGTCATGATGTTGTTTATTGGTGCAATTGTCAGAATTTGTTTTCTGTATGTTGAGGTATAATCCATACTGAAGGCTGCAGTCTGATCTTCATCAGTAAGTGCTTCAAGCTTTCTTCACTTTTGGCAAGCCAGGTTGTATCATTTGCATATATTTAAAAAGAAAGAAAAAACTCACTGCCATCGAGTTGATTTCAACTTGTAGCAACCCCTTTCGGGTTTCAGAGGCGGTGAATCTTTACAGAAATAGATTGCCTAGTCTTCCTTCCACGGAGTGGCTGGTGGGTTTGACGGAGTGGCTGGTGGGTTTGACGTGCCAGCCTTCTAGTTAGCAGTCAAAATGCCTTAGGCACTATGCCACTAGAGAGACTTCCTCCAATTCTGATGCCTCATTCTTCTTCATATATGATTTATTCTAGAAACTAGTAAAATGAATACTTTCACTCCCTTTTTTTGCATCTGCCTGGTGCTCTCTGACACACATAATCACTACCATAAATTTGAAGGTTATGATAATATCTACTAATAAGGAACTCTGGTGTGCTGTACTTACAGCATTTGGGCTGCTAACCAAAAGTCAGCAGTTTGAACCTACCAGCTTCTCTGTGAGAGAAAGATGAAGCAATCTGCTTCTGTAAAGATTTACAGCCTTGGAAACCCTATGGGGGTCGCTATTAGTGGTAATTGACTCAATGGCAGTGGTATGGTTTTTTTTTTTTGGTTGTTGTTGTTTTACTGTTCTGTATGGTAAGTCTTACTTTAAGCATTTTTCACATATTAACTCAATTCTCACAATAGTCTTTTGAGGTTGGCGTTGTTGTTGTTGTTATGTGCCATCGAGTCAGACCCAACTAATAGCAACACCTCCTTGGGTTTCCGAGGCAGTATCACTACGGAAGTAGATTGCCCCATCTTCCTTCTGAGGAGTGGCTGGTGGGTTTGAACCGCCAGACTTCTGGTTAGCAGTCAAGTACCTTAGACACTATGCTACCAGAGCTCCCAAGGTTAGCTTTGCAGAAGAAAGATGGAGCAATCTACTTCCGTAAAGATTTACCACGTTGGGAACCCAACAGGGGTCGCTTTGAGTCAGAATCAGCTCAGTGGCAGTGGGCTTGGTTATTTATTTTTTTTTCTGGTGTAGGATACTATCTTAATAGGCTTTAGATTTTGTTTGCTAGCTACTTTAAACAATGTAAT